GTGTCGATTCTTTTGATTTGACTTTTAATACTCGTACCGAGCAACGCCCGACCAATACACTAATAGTAAATTAAACAAAATGGGGAAAAGTTCTTCTACGTTGTCAATAAAAAGCTTGGTAGAAGATGAAGACATTTGAAATTCCTAAAACCCAGAAACAACAAAAGCTAGCTTTGAACTTATCTCAAGTAAACAAAAAATGTTTATGAATTCCAGAAAGAAACCCCAATTAAAGAACTTATTCAAAAAGGTGATTTTAAAGTGAATTCGATGTGGGATTTGGGATAGAAATGGAATTGGGCAAGAAATCCAAAATCACATGTGCTAAAAAATAGCTTAATTACCTTGATTATTTTCATTCCCACAAAATATGAATAGATGTTTCTCGTCAATGGTAAACGTGGATATACTAAATAGTCCGCTTAACTCACCTGCATTTGGTCATTGTGATCTACTAGCATCGATTTCAGCTTGCACATGCGTCACCTGCACTATGGGTTTAGAAGGGAAACAGAAACGTTAAAGTGCATACTTACCACAAGGTAATTTGGACATATCCGCAAGACGCAGGTAAATAATTATTTTTGTTACCGTTGAAAGCTCCAAGCGATGGCAATTAGCATCAAGAACGGCGATTAGAGGGATACGTTTCTTTGTTCAAACGAAGGGATACAGTGAAAATGTCAATGTAAGCATCAAGAAAAAAAAAACAAAAAGAGAGGAAAATGACACATAAATTATTACATGTACTGAAAGAATTGGAAAACCTTATAAAAAATCCAAATCGATGAATTTAGGGTTCTTCACGGGAGGTTTCCAGGTTCAACCACGATCGATCAAAAGCAAAGAGAACCAAACCACTTCAATTGTTGAACTAATTTTGCTTCGATTTCTCTATAGGGCGAAGGAATTGTACCCGAAAACGAAGGAATACATAAAAATAAAGAGAAACACCAGAAGCGGTCATTGTATTTGGTAATAAAGCGTCCGATGGGGATCGGAATTGCAGAAGAAGACAATTAAAGGAGAGAGAAAAAGTTATGCAACCGGACAGTTGCGTGAAGTAGAAGAACCACGAAGCTGGTGAAGATGATGGACAGAGTTGTCGATCCATTTGCCGCCGACCTATGGCTATATCGTTGGCTGGATGGAATTGAAAATAGAGAAGAAGAATCGAAAGATGGATGGAGTCGGTGAGGAAAATCGGGAATAGAGTCTATGGCGGTGGGGTGGTTTTAGGGATTTTTAATCGGAAGAGAATAAGAAGCGGTGGACAGCAGCCAATCACAGGAAAGAACTGTTAAAATTTTTCACATCTTTAATATATATATATATATATATATATATATATATATATATATATATATATATATATATATATATATATATATATATAATAATAATAATAATAATAATAATAATAACTAGAAGGGTATCCCACGTCTTGCGTGGGGTAGAAGGTGTTCGATTAAAATATAATTATATGGTTTCGATTGTTAAATTTATAAATTTACAAATAAATTCTATCAAATACGACAAAAGACAGAAGAAGTTACACATCTTTGTCTTTTTTAAAAGTTGCACCACTCTATCCTTTTTGGACATTGCGGGAAAGAAGTAAGTCACATTGAACACTATACTTAGTAATCATATCTAGATTTGAATGCTTTACAGTGGGATTAGATGGAGATGAATGTGTATTAGGTTTCGACTTCCATAGTGAGATGGATTTGAGAAGGAAGGGCAAATAAGGATCTAATCAAATCCTAACTCATGATAACCTGCATTATACAAACATTACAGATGACTCATGATAACCTGCATTATACAAACATAACAGATAACTGAGATTAAAGCAAGTGCAACGGAAGAGTTTCCATTCCACTCTGAAATGAAATTTTTTAATTATTAAAACAGATTACAACTAAAACAGGTCAACACAAAAGTTAATAACATTTTCTTTATTTATACTTTAAGATTAAGAAGCAACATGACAATTATTATTTATCGTTAAATTTCCATCAAAAATTTATTAAGACTAACCAAATGGTCTAGAAAATATCCACTTTTTGTGTGCTCCATGTAACATTGTTCAATGGAATAAACTAACTGAAAAATTATTTGTGCGTGTTAGATATTGAAAATAGATAATTAGATAGATACATTAGAAAAAAATTGAAAAAATGCGAAAAAGAAAACCTTTTTGAGTTCATAAAGTGTAGCTAGAAATGAGCCTTCAGTTTCCTCTTCCCATCGTCATACAACCAATCTTCGGTTTCTTAAAGCTCACCAATTAACATCTTAATCTATAACATATTCATGTAGCTTATCATATAGCTAGAAAACCAAAGTTGATGATGGAAACTAATATCCTTAAATGGAATTTAAGTAATGTTATGCATCATTCATATGCAGTTCATACATATGCAAGCCATAAAATCGAATCAGAAATTTTTAGGATAAAACATTAAATATAAAAACCAAAATTTCAAGGGAACTTCTTAGGAAAAAAATGAAATAATGATTATACTTATAAAGATTATGATTTATAAATAACTTACCTAACAAAATATTAGGTTGATCCACAAGTAATGGTTCATGTGGGGTTTATCTAAAGACTTTATTAAATGGTCAACCATTTGTTTCAGTTCCTTACTTCCTTTACAATTTCTTTATCCTATGAAACAGATTCAACCTGTCCATTCTAAGGCTTCCTGTCATTTGTTTTAATGCCCAAAAACGACCAACACAACTACCTAACAAATAGCTGAAACATAAGCTTTCTCGGTTGCAGTTTTCTACTTCTGGAAACTCAAATTTGTACACACACAAAAAAAAATATCCCACATATATGAAGTTTGGAAGAAATTGAATGAATAGAAGTTAGTTTATTTCATTTATGAAATAATTACAACTTCATTGTAAAACTAAAGAAAAGTAACGTCTTAATTTTCCACTTGTGTATTTATTTTGAACTCTTGAAATGTTAAGAGTATCAAAACCCAACTGCTTATTGGACAAAATTTCAAATTATAATTCCTAACAGAAAATGGGAAAGTGTAATGCTATAAACGGATAAAATGGCGCATTGACCAATTATGCCAAGCCTAAGTGAAAGAGAAACAACCATATGTGAAAACTAACAAAAGTTGAGAAATGAGACTAAATTGGAGCAATAGATGAAAAAAAAAACATATATTTTTAAGATTTTTTGGAGTCATGATACTTTTTTTTAATAGTTTTAGACTAATTATTGTTTTCAAAAACTTATTAACACTATGACATAAATAAGTAAACAACTAATAATGTAACATAAGTAGTTGGTTTTTTGTTTTACTATTTTCTATCAAAGAAAGAAGCATGGGATGTTTTTATTATTATTATTTTTTTTTTTCATTTCTCCCCCGACCTTTTCCTGTTTTTTTTTCAACTCTAATTTTATTACACCCGAAGCATTGAGTAATTTCTTTTAGTTTGTGGGTTATAGGTTAAACGGATGTTTTTTATTATCTATTCTTATTTGATGTTATATAATTCATTCAAGTCACAGGGAAGCAATTTAGTCCTTCGTTTTACTTTTTTTAACCAAATCTTGTAGCTCAAACCCACATCTTTCTCAAAAAAATAAAAAATAAATAAAATTCACAAACCAAAACCTAAACTTGATACACCTTCCTTTTACCCATAATCAAAACACATTTATAGTGTGAATGAAAGACATTTTCTTAGCAAAGAACAGAAAAATGTGAACATGGATTTGAGTGGATAGGATGCAGCGAGGTAGTTACATAAATGAATCAAATGATACCTTCATTAGTATTACCTTCACCAATTCAGTCAGGTAAATGCTTCCTGGCTTTTCCTTTGCAGCCCTCTTCAAACCGAACCACCTCATTTTATATAGTCTGAAAGAAAAAGACATTTTTACCCTTGTTACATACACTTATAAATACATTGGTAATATAGTATTTGATAGACTAACCTTCACTCATGTTGTGCAACAATTGCATTGGTATTGAATATTAGAAACTTTGCTGGTTTTCTTAATTTGAAGCCGACGTCGCATAAATAATTGCAGCAAAATTTTTTTTTTTAGGGAAAATTATAGAATAAAAAGTACAATGTGTGTGCAAAAGACGTAATTACCCTCCAATCATATTATCAAAGATAGGTTACAAAGATGATTATTCTCACCTCTTGCTGAACACCAACAATGCCTATGTATCTCTTCTCAAGGAAAAATCAAGAAAATAGATTAGATGAATGGGTGTATAAATTAATATAATAAATCATAATTGAGAAATGAAGATAATAATTGGTCTCTCACTTCCAATGATCTTCACATTTTGATTTACCACCATCACCAAAGCAACTTACCTACACGAAATTTCAATGGATTGAATATTTGAATTCCATTCATTTATAATCAATTAAAACTACAATTAATCAACAAACCTCAAAAAATGGCAAAAGGTGGGGAAGCATGTAAGTGGCCATCAGAAGTCGGTGGCTATTCCCGCCTTGTAGAGACTGATGAAATTAGGATTAAGTTCGCTATTAAAATTGAAACTGAGAGGTTAAGTGGCAAAGAGTTGTAATAACTGAGACAAACGAATAGCCAGATTAAAAAGCTAGGATGTATAGGATCACAAATAACTTTAACTTTTTGTTTTGGAAGTATGACTTTGTAATAGAAAGAAAAGAAAAGCATATGTTATAATAAAAACAAAATACCACCCCCCCCCCCCCCCCCCCCCCGCGGAAATAATTAAAATGTTAAAAAGGGGTCGTAAGTACTCACCCTCGATGCGTGTAAGCGGATTAGATTTGTTTTGGTGAAGTGCGATGTGAGAAATCGCAAAATTAACTGTTCCTTGCGTTTAAAACAAATCACCAGGGCTATTTATATTACCTAATAAACCAAATGTAAGTTTCCGTATAAGTTATTAAGTATAGGGTGGTCTTTGTTAAAATAAATAAATGTTAGGGTTTGATTTTGCTAAAATCATCCCCAAGGGACTGATATGGCAATCCATTTCCGAAACAGGGGGCTGAAGTGAACATTTTAAACCCAAGTTTGAGAATGAGATTAGTTTTGAGGACGATTGTCCATAGAGGGGCCATTATGTTTATTTTTTATTCAAGTTTGGAAGAGGGGGGCTGATTGGCAATATGAGTAAAGTTTGGGGTGTGTTTTTATTAAAATAAATACAAGTTTGGTTGCCTGTTGAAATTCCAGATCGGGTGTTTAGTTTTCCAGATCGTGAAGAGGAACGTCGAGACCCACTTCCAGGTCTCATGTTCGACTGATAATTAACGAAGGAACGGGAATGGAATTTTTCAAGGTGGTGATGGTCGACTACTCACAGTGCAGCCAGCGGTGGTGATGACAGTTCAGCGAAGTGGCGGCAGGGGAGGTCGACGAGCCCGAATGGATGAAGGGAGGAAGCAACGAAGCTTCTTCCTGCTCCGATGGTGATGTGCGAAGGGAGGGAAGTTCATTTCTGAGACGACGCGAGCGAAGCGATGCAGGTTGGAAGAAAGAGCGAAACGGATGTGATTTCAGGGTGATGCAGCAAAGGCGAGACCTTCGGAGGTCTATGTTCGATCATAAACGGCAGAGAAAGAAGCGAGGGTCTCCGGTCTTTGGCCGGCCGCAGAGCGTGTTAACAGTCTCCAATCAAGCGGCGAATCGATGGTGGATACCCACTGCGAACAGGGAGGAGCAATGGGTCGGTGGTTTACTGGTCGTCGATCATCAACAGGTAAGATGGAGATGAATGTGTATCAGGTTTTGACTTCCATAGGGAGATGGATTTGAGAAGGAAGGGCAAATAAGGATCTAATCAAATCCTGACTCATCATAACCTGCATTATACAAACATAACAGATAATTATCTGAGATTGAAGCAAGTGCAAAGAAAGAGTTTCCATTCCAACCTGAAATGAAAATTTTTAATTAATAAAAGAGATTACAACTAAAAATAGCCAACACAAAAGTTAAATAACATTTTCTTTATTTATACTTTAAGATTAAGAAGCAACATGAAAATTATTATTTATCATTAAATTTCCATCAAAAATTTAATAAGACTAACCAAATGGTCTAGAAAATATCCACTTTTTGTGTGCTCCTTGTTACATTGTTCAATGGGATCAACTAACTGAGAAATTATTTGTGCGTGTTAGATATTGAAAATAGATAATTAGATAGATACATAACAATGAAATAATGATTATACTTGTAAACATTATGATTTATAAATAACTTACCTAACAAAAGATTAGGTTGATCCATAAGTAATGGTTCATCTGGGGTTTATCTAAAGACTTTATTAAATGGTCAAACATTTGTCTCAGTTCCTTACTTCCTTTACAATTTCTTTATCTTATGAAACAGATTCAACCTGTCCATTCAAAGGCTTCCTCCCATTTCTTTTAATGCCCAAAAACGACCAACACAACTACTTAACAAATAGCTAAAACATAAGCTTTCTCGGTTGCAGTTTTCTTCTTCTGGAAACTCAAATCTGTACACAACAAAAAAATCCCATATATATGAAGTTTGGAGGAAATTGAATGAATAGAAATTAGTTTATTTCATTTATGAAATAATTACAACTTCATGGTAAAACTAAAGAAAAGTAACGTCTTAATTTTCCAATTGTGTATTTATTTTGAACTCTTGAAATGTTTAGAGTATCAAAACCCCACTGCTTACTGGACAAATTTTCAAATTATAATTCCTAAGAGAAAATGGGAAAGTGTAATGCTATAAACGGATAAAATGGCGCATTGACCTATTATGTCAAGCCTAAGTGAAAGAGAAACAACCATATGTGAAAACTAACAAAAGTTGAGAAATGAGACTAAATTGGAGCAATAGCTGAAAAAAAAAACCTTTCTTTTTAAGATTTTTTACGAGTCATGATACTTTTTTTTTAATAGTTTTAGGCTAATCATTGTTTTCAAAAACTTATTAACATTATGACATAAATAAGTAAACAACCACTAATGTAACATAAGTAGTTGATTTTTTGTTTTAGTATTTTCTGTCAAAGAAAGAAGCATGGGATGTTTTTTTTTTTTTTTTTTTTTTTTTTTTTTTTTTTTTTTTTTCTTTTTCATTTCTCCCCCGACCTTTTCCTGTTTTTTTTCAACTCTAATTTTATTACACCTGAAGCATTGAGTAATTACTTTTAGTTTGTGGGTTATAGGTTAAACGTATGTTTATTCTTATCTATTCTTATTTGATGTTATATAATTCATTCAAGTCATAGGGAAGCAATCTAGTCCTTCGTTTTACCTTTTTTTAACCAAATCTTGTAGCTCAAACCCACATCTTTCACACAAAAAAAAATAATAATAATAAAAAAATCACAAACCAAAACCTAAACTTGAAACACCTTCCTTTTACCCATAATCAAAACACTTTTATAGTGTGAATGAAAGACATTTTCTTAGCAAAGAACAGAAAAATGTGAACATGGAATTGAGTGGATAGCATGCAGGGGAGGTAGTTACATAAATGAATCAAATGATACCTTCATTAGTATTACCTTCACCAATTCAGCCAGGTAAATGCTTCATGGCTTCTCCTTTGCAACCCTCCTCTAACCGAACCACCTCATTTTATATAGTATGAAAGAAAAAGACATTTTTACCCTTGTTACATACACTTATAAATACATTGGTAATATAGTATTTGATAGACTAACCTTCACTGATGTTGTGCAACAGTTGCATTGGTATTGAATATTAGAAACTTTGCTGGTTTTCTTAACTTGAAGCCGATGTCGCAGAAATAATTGCAGCAAAAAAAAAATTTTTTTAGGGAAAATTATAGAATAAAAAGTACAATGTGTGTGCAAAAGACGTAAGTACCTTCCAATCATATTATCAAAGATAGGTTACAAAGATGATTATTCTCACCTCTTGCTGAACACCAACAATGCCTATGTATCTCTTCTCAACGAAAAATCAAGAAAATAGATTAGATGAATGGGTGTATAAATTAATATAATAAATCATAATTAAGAAATGAAGATAATAATTGGTCTCTCACTTCCAATGATCTTCACATTCTGATTTACCACCATCACCAAAGCAACTTACCTACACGAATTTTCAATGGATTGAATATTTGAATTCCATTCATTTATAATCAATTAAAACTACATTTAATCAACAAACCTCAAAAAAAGGCAAAAGGTGGGGAAGCATGTAAGTGGCCATCAAAAGTCGGTAGCTATTCCCGCCTTGTAGAGACTGATGAAATTGGGATTAAGTTCACTATTAAAATTGAAACTGAGAGGTTAAGTGGAAAGTTGTAAGAACTCATACAAACGAATAACCAGATGAAAAATGTGACAACCGTCAAATTCTGGTCAATTCAAAGTCAAATAAAGTCAACAAGTCAAACCGGTCAACTCAACTAACCCTTGTGTACTAGGGCTTACGTTATGTATTTACTAAACAACTCGTTATTTTGATGAGAAATCATAAATCGAAAAGTACGTAGAACTAGATCTCCTTAACCTAAAACTGTGGTAAGTGGCAAGCCAAACCGATAGAACAATGTTGCATACTCATCGGGAGTGTGTAAGATCCTTAAACAAGGCTTAACAGGGTTTACAGACCCATCATTGCGAAGCCGGGTACTCAAAAAGGTCACAAATGAAACCTCTCCCAATCGTTTTCATTAAATCTCTCTCTAATATCTCTTTGTATGTGAAATCTCTCCAAGAATGTCAAATCTCACACAAATCTGTCCAAGTATGTGAAATCTCTCTCAAAAATCTCTTTGTATGAGAAATCTCTCCAAGAATGTCAAATCTCTCCAAGCATGTGAAATCTCTCTCAAATATCTCTTTGTATGAGAAATCTTTCCAAGAATGTCAAATTTCTCCCAAATCTCTCCAAGTATGTGAAATCTCTCTCAAATATCTCTTTGTATGAGAAATCTCTCCAAGAATGTCAAATCTCTCCTAAATCTCTCCAAGTATGTGAAATCTCTCCCAAATCTCTCTCAAAAGTTCCCGTAACTTTTTGGAATCATTCGGGTCATTCCGATCCTTAACCGGGTCAAAAACGGCTTAAAACGGGGTAAAAACGAGAAAAACAGACTTAAGGAGCCGAAACCCCTCTCAAGGAACCTAAACCTCTCATGGAGTCGAAGCCCTGAACAGCCGAAACCCCTTGTAGCCGAGACCGAAACCGAGACCTGGAAGCCTCTCGGACCGAATCTAGGAAGAGGCGAAGTCTCTCGGGCCGAACCTCACTCTCGGTTCCGCCTTCTCAGCCACTCTCGGTCCCTTCTCTTCTCTCGGCTCTCGGTCCCTTCTCTTCTCCGCCTCTCGGTTCCTTCCCTTCCCTCTCTCGGTTCTTCTTCTCTCCTCTCGGTTCCCTCCCTTCTAGTCTCGGTTCTCTGCACCAAAGGACCGAACCTCGGCCAGACTTCGGATTTTTGACGCTTTTCACCAATTTTTGATATTTTTAGCATTTTGAGCCCGTTTTTAATTATTATAACGCGGGGTTTTCACCCAAGATTATATTTTAACATAAAGAACCCTAAATATTCACAATTTAATCATATTTTCATAAAAATCTTTATTTAAATAATAAAAGCTAGTGGGTTAAGTACAAAGAGGTGGAGTGTTGACTTTGCTTTACCTTATAACACAAGCAACCACTCCCACACCCACTCTATGACCAGCCACACCTCCCCACCTTACCTAGGTCACATCAATGTCCTTTCCACTCAATTATCACCCTTTCCCATGTTTTTGAGAGCTGGACATTCATCCTCTCTCCTCACTTCTCCAATTTTCTCTCATTTCACAAGAAGATCAAACTCTTTCCTCTCTCACTTCCTCTCTCAAGAAATTCGAGATTCAAGGGCTGATCTTGGGTTTTCCTCCACATTTGGTTAGCATAATTCATTCTCCTTATGAATATCTCACTTCTTTCTACTCAAGTCATGGATATCTTGCACAAACTCCATCATATTTGTGTTAGAGCATCGAATCTTCAAGTGATTCTTCAAGTGTTCTTGGATTGAACACTTCTCTTCTTCAACACTTATCTATTGAAATCACATAAGGTGAGTTCATACCCCTACATTTTAATGTTTTCTCAAGTTTTTAAGGGGGGAATACAAGTTAAAACACCAAGAACATAATTAAAATTTTCTAACAGCCTTCATCAAAAAAGTTCAACTCCATTCACGGACTGTTTTGGACAACTTAAACATTTTATTTTTCAAAACTGTTTTAGGTGCAAGTATTTCCATTTCTTAGCTTTAAAATGACTACTTGAACATCTCCACACGATTTTTCTACAATTTATGATGATTTTTACAAAACAGCCTGTCTTTTCAAACACAAATTCCGGACCAGTCTGTAAATATGAGCATTTTAATACAAGTTAAAGGCTTCCAAAAATCATGATAAAAATTATGAGTAAACTAGACTCATTTTAGGAACTCTCAGAATTTACGGATCTAGTTTTCGACTTCGTATGATTTTTCTAAAACAGTGCAGAAAAATTAAGAATTAGCTAACAGCTTCTAACTATCAAAACACTTTGTAACATGTTGAGCAAAGTGTTAAGTCTTTGATGACTTCATATATTACATGTATTTCTTGTTATGATATATTTGTATAATAGGAAATTACTTACTGAATTTATAAGAATCCTCCATCATAATCATTAGTACAAAACAAAGCAAGTTAAACATAGCTATATTGTACTATACATTTGACTTAAATAGAATGGGATT